AGTGCACATGACCTTGATGTGGGAACAATCGTGACCTTTCTATGCCCTTGACAAACGAACTGTAATATTGGTCAGGCCCCCCTAGGGCCGCTCACGAATGGGGAGTCTTCTTTTAATAATATTCGTCAAATATTACCATGGACTTTCTACGTACGATTTATTTGAAAAAGAATCAATAGCGCGACAAACCAGGACAATTCAACTGGAATCACCGAATAGGCGAGATCTGAGAAATTGTCAGAAATGATGAATGCTGACCCAGCTGTCAGCTAGTGTATATTTTCTGAAATACTATTTCAGAAGAGACGAGACCTACCTTCAATTTGGAAAAACAATTTCCTTATCCGTCGTTTCCGGCTATCACATTCACCATAATTTGAAACCATGTCGATAAAATGGTGAAGGTGTGTATATCATTTAACTGGTACATTCACCATATATCAGAAGAGGGATATTGAGAACATCCGTAGCTTATTTGCAGAGGTAAGGTACAACTTTTGAAAAAACACCAATTAGGAGCATTTAAACCTTGTAGGAAATTCTTGAGAGGTGACCATGATCCTTAGGAGGTGAAATCATGAAAAATGCAAACCCAGCGTTTGTACTCAAAGTCTACATCGGCTGGTAGGCAGATAAAAGTGAGGAAAAGTGACTGCATAATTGGTTATATGTCATTGATTTATTTGTATTTTGGGCAGCCGAAGCGTCACTCGACATCTGTGGTTTCATTTATTGGCCAGTGTAGAGTAGAATTATAAGTTGCAACATCTTGAAGCAATTTCACAGCTTTTTGCTTTCTCTTTCATCTTCAAAGTGACCATGACCTTGATCTGATCTTATGAAAATTAAAATCAAAGCCAAGAGAACAATCGTGACCTTCTGTGCCTTTGACAAACGGACTGTCCTATCGGTCAGGCCCCCCAGGGTCGCCAATGAATGAGGAGTTTTCTTTTATTGATATGCCTCAACTATTACATAGAAATCCTGGATTAGAGGTAAGGATGTCGACGGCCAATTTGGAGAAAAAATAATTTCTTTATTCACAGTTTTAAGCTATCGCATTCGCCTTAATTTTAAAATATGTTGATAAAAATGGTGAAAGTGTGTATATCGTTTGACTGGAACATTCACCATATATCAGAAGAGGAATATCAAAGAGAACATCCGCAGCTAATCATAGGATTGCTAACGGTTACATGAAAATTTTTGTTCATTTTTTAGATAAATCGATTGGGATGCAATTTTGATACGTTTTGTGCGGGGTCTCCCGTCAACTTCTTGAGCAATCGGTCGCTGCAATTACACGTGGTACCTTTTATGGCGAAATTTCATACCAACCCTGACGTCAATCTAATCATGGCGACAGCGCGCCAGCTGCTGCGGCGACTTGTCAACCGATCGGCGATTCAACCAGCTGTTCCCTAACAAGTACGCCGTTCTGTGATGCGATGTTCCGTAATTTATAATATTCCATTTTTGACTATTGCCGAAACCTGCTGTCACTCTACCAAATATTGTAAATCGATATATCTTGAAAAAACTGTTAAGCCGCGTACAGACCGAGATTCCAAGAACATCCAAGGCCCATGTGGTTACAGATTTGGAGGTGTTCGAATCGGTGTGTCCCGTCTACCCTGTATATCATTCATCTAGCACATTTTAAGCCCACTCCAATTGCATTCCGTGTTCTCTACTCTACTACAGAAGAGATATTACAGAGAACAGGACGTAGCTTGCTCGGCTCAGCCAGCTCGTATTTTTAGAAAAGAATTGATTAACTGTGTGACGCGCTAGTTCACTGGCGTGCTCTCGTCTAGCAGACTCGCAGGAATACAAATTGTCCTCCTAGCGCCGAACCAGACGTCAATTATAGAACACCCGTTCATACGTTTAGCAATAGTTGTTGCAGATGAAGAAGAGACACGTTTACATTTTGCATGGGGTGTCACGTGTCATCCATTTATTTATTACTAGCTGACCCGACATACTTTGTCCTGTCTTAGTTATGAACTGGGATGAATGATGAACAATAGAAGATGTGTATGTACCGCCATGTGGCAGCACTGTCATTTCCCCATCAATTTACCTTGAAAGCAGGCATAAGATTGTTACGTCAAATTAAAAATCGACGGATCTAAAAGAATATGTGCAGAAATAATTAGCCACACAGAAGCAGTACGATCATCGTTTGCAAAATACAGCTGCAAAATGCAAATAAATGAGAAACATAAAATACATACCGACCTCTGCAACGGAGTCTATAGTGACTAAATAATCATTGCTTTTGACTTATCATTGGTATCTATAAATTTTTAGGTGCTGTAAAGATATGTCTAATCGCTCAAATAATTTGGACAAGCTGGCTTGTGCAAATTATTTGCAAACCTTTAGAGAACCTAAAAGTCTATTGATACCTGTACGTGTTCTTGAAAAGTTAGTCAAAAACCTCCGGATTACCACAATCCGATACCTCTTTCCGATTCGAAAATATCGTGCTTTGAATTTCGGTAAAATTTTCCTTGTGGCAAAACAAATCGCAAAACAGGTTGTTTTTTATTTTTTTCATTCTATTTATTATAGACTTACATCCAAAAACGAGACTATTCCGGTAACAAATTCTATAAACATTTCACAGCTCTCCGAATAACAGCTCGTACTCCATTAACCCGATCAATAATAAACAAACGCGGGACATCGCTGATAAAAAATTCAATCGGAAAGACATCGCAAACTGCTTCGCCGATGTCTGGCTGCTCATCCCTTGTAACCCTTAGAAGAAAAATCTATTATGATGACCGCGGGCGCAATGGAAGGCCGCCCTGATGCCCTTAAGGGAGCCATTATTGCCGCAGAGTGTCCGACCAATATCGCCTTTACTAAATCTTCGCCCTCCTCCGTTAGCAATTTGCTGCCGGAGGCTATTTGCGAAAAGTCAACGGCGGGGCTCATAGGGTGAAGTGCTCATTTTGAACAGTAAGCGCGGTCTCAGTAATTTTATAGCGAAGCAGGTAGATTATTCTACAATCTCGAGACAAAGAAGTGGTCGTATCGGCCAGTTCTGGAAGTACAAAGGGTTCCAAACCTGTTTGTTAGAAAAGAGTCATGTAAAACAAACATTTCATTATATGCAGATGACAGCAAATTATTCTGAAACCCTGCATTACAACAGGTCGAAATAAAAAAGGACATGCCGCCATCGAGTTGTGGTCTAAGAAATGGCAAATGTAACTCAGTACAGATTGATCGTATTGGGAAGACGAATCCTCATGTGCAGAGTGTTTTCAAAGTTGAGTCATTTATTTTAACAGCTTTGACTCGACAAAAAAGTTGATAATACCAAAAGGCACCTACCCTTCAAATATTCAGTATCAGCAAAAATGTGGATCGTACTGCGAACGTGGTCGTTAATATGCAACAGAAACAATGGCGGGGCCAAGATGCCAAGATGCCTGGGGAACACCCGCGTTCACATTGTGGGATGAAAAGGAGATCCCTTTACAGGCTACTTTTTTTCTGCTTAAACTAGTATCTAAGCTCTAGAAGATAGAAATTTCTGATAACCTCATCAACGTCGTTATCATCGTCTTCATCGTCGTCATCATTGTCGTCATCATCGTCGTCGACATCATCATTGTCATCATCATCGTCGTCGTCATCGTCGTCGTCATCGTCGTCGTCATCATCGTCGTCATTATCGTCATCATCATCGTCATCATAGTCATCATCATCATTGTCTGGGTTATCGTCATCGAGCTTCATAAGACTGGATGAGCTTACTCCACAGTTCCGTGACGTAAGCTAGGAGAACCCGTCAATAACGACGGGTATCTTGTCAGTCACCCACCTGCAAAGCTTCTCTGGGAAGCAATGGGATGGAGGTTTGCATTAGAAGACAGCGTGCCACCGCTGATCGATGACTTACTTGTATACTTGATAGATATATTGATAGACAGCTTCAATATAAGCAAACTTCCAATCTCTTGGGAAAACACGCTTCCAGCGAAAATGTTCAGCGACGACCCTGGATCCAAACGTAACCATTAGAGATTATTACCGTTACCGCCAGCATAAGGTGAGGCTCGTCTTTATTACGAAGCTGCTTAGCATTCATCCGATATAATTATTTTTAGGGATGGAAATGAGTCTGGAAGACCATCGTAGACTTTTTAGGGTTGCGTTGACAGCTCCCCTTTGTTTCTCGGTGATAAAATATTTTACGGCGCCATGAACGCTGAGAAGTAATCGACATAAACTAAACTTTGTAACGACATAGGAGATTATATTCGATAAAAATGTTACCAACAGGTCCATAAAGTTGAAGGCTCTGTTATACGGCTTCGACTCATAGCATTTCAGGTAGTTTAGGGTATTTACTTTTAGTTGTGTGGGTATTATTGGCATTCTTAGCTGTTATAACGGGAGGATTGATTGTTTTGTTGTCTATGCTCAGCACACTAGAAGTGTTACACCCAGAAAAAGTAATTTCGTCAACTTAATTTTTGGCAATGAGGTAGCCTTACATCAAGAATGAGACACGAAATTTTATTGACAAGTAATAAAAAAATTGATAATGTGCTGCGCGACGAACAGTATGGGGACGTGGGTAATAACTAAAAATATCTGTACTACTCAGCTCTCAGAAATCAAAAACACTGAAGGATGAACAATTTGGGAAAATGTCATAAAAACTTTTGGAAACATTGTAAGGTTATTGCGACGTAAAACCGTAATTACCTTTCTTCCTAGATACTTTTTGTATTTATTGATAGAAGAACAGAAGAAACAAGGTTAGATGGATATAAAATTTCATGCACTACGTAGTACGTATAAAACGGCTCCGTTGTATTCTAGAACCTTCCATTGCCCGCACAACCTAGTATAGTGTTTGACTTCCTTTCGAACAATCTAACGACGGTTTTCCTCGCGAGATGTTCCTGCAACGTTGTCTATTTTCCTGCAACTTCCTGAAAGAGTAAATAAACTTCGAGAGCGTATAATCGAATCTCCTTACCTGCGATGTAGAAAATACAAGCCAGAACATCCCTCACAACAGATGCGGTTGTCGTTTTCATTTTCCGCCCTGCAAGAAACACATCAAATATTTAGTATGCTGTTCAAAGAAAATAGCGGGTAACTCAGTTATATTGTAGCTGTGTTTGCATTTTTAATAATGTTTAACGAAATGGCGGTATTCAAGTTCATATCTCCATACTTTTAGAGGGTGAAATATTCACGGAGTCTGACTGCTTTATTATTTAATTAGCGGTTGATGAAACAAACGAAATTCAGCTAACAGAACGGAACAGTTTTCAAGAACAAGGAGGTTTCAGTGGCTGTATCAGTTGTTTCCACATACAACAGCTGGTACACTGTGACTGATATAAACTGTTTAGAGGCATCTTGTTAATTTGAAGTCGTTGCAGGTCTTCTTTTCTCCAGCTTGCCAGCAGAGATCGGATTGAAACTCTGCATTCCTGCATGTAGAGTACTGTGATCAGCAAAGAGGTAGGTCATTGAAACAGTGTCTGAGCACAGATCCTTGGGCCATACCCGCGTTGACGTTGTGGGATGAAGAGGAGAACTCGTTTCAGGCTACTTTTTTCTGCTTAATCTAGTATCTCAGTTCGAGAAGATTGAAATTTCTAATAACATCATGATCGTCGTCATCATCGTCGTCGTCATTGTCATCATCATCGACATCGTCATCATCGTTGTTATTATCGTCGTTATCAGCTTCGTTATCATCGTCGACGTCGTCATCATTGTCGTCATCATCGTCATCATCATCGTCCTCATTGTTATCATCGTCGTCGTCATCATCGTCATCATCGTCATCATCGTCGTCGTCATCGTCGTCATTATCGTCGTCATCATCATCGTCATCACCGTCGTCGTCATCGTCGTCATTGCCATCATCGTCGACGTCGTCATCATTGCCGTCCTCATCGTCGTCATAATCGTCGTCATCATCGTCATCACCGTCGTCGTCATCGTCGTCATTGCCATCGTCGTCATTGCCATCGTCGTCATTGCCATCATCGTCGACGTCGTCATCATCGTCGTCATCGGCATCACCATCGACGTCGTCATCATCGTCGTCATCATCGGCTTTACAGAAACGTTCCTTGCCACAAAAACCAGCTGCAATTCCAACAAAACCCAATCCGCGGACCGAATAAAACTGATGAAGTCGAGCCAATTTAAATCGTGCGTTTTTTGTCGCGGCGACCCTATCGGGGCGAAAGTTTAAGTCGTACAAACCGAACACGGTTCGCACTTTTTGCTGCTTTTGTCGCCGGCATGGAGAAACAACGTCGCTATGTCGTTCCTAGCTATCGGGGACCTGCAGAATTATCTTACTGCTCACGTACTTGCCGAGAAGTATACGATGAAACGTGGTTAGCGGCTTTTTGACGCTATTTGCCTGATGGAGTAGCACGAAATAGTACAGAGCGAAAAGTCAAACGAATAATGCCACATGTAATGAAAAGGAAAGTTATTCGAAATCGTGTGTCGATAGAAATATCAATAAGGCTAAAGTGGAAAAAATTAAGAAGTTTGAATATTAGCAACAAAAACAAGTTGTATTCCCGGTCAGCTAAATAATCCGGATGGTATAAATAACCATTTTCTTTAGATCTCTCGGGCAAGCTCATTAATAGACTATGATACTTTGCATTACTATTATAGCAATACGAGTATGAAGGTCAAAACTTTTCAGGATTAAATCGCATACCTTGGGTGCTGAGGGTATACAACTTGAAATGATCTCATTATGTTGCCCTAAAATCATCCCTTACATCACTGATATAATAAACTCCTGTATTTTAGATCGATAGCATTTAGATTCATGAAAAATTGCCAAAATTATTCCAATATCAAAGAAGTCTGAAATTAGTGACTACAATGATCTTTGTCCTATAGGTATTTTAGCAGAACGATTTGTTACCAGACTATCAATCAGGATTTAGGAAGATTCCAGAAAAACCACCCCTCTCGTGCTCTTGGACTGCTCCAAGGTGTTTGACAAATTAAATCATGAAATGTTGACTGGTATCTTATACTATACGCTAATTTGCAACTATTTAACTAACAGAACACAATCTGTAGAGACAGGTACAGGAAATTCCTCCAAAGATGTCATCCCATCGGGTGTACAAGGCTCCATTTTAGGTCCTCTGAATTTTTGTATTTACACCTCCAACTTTTTCTAATGGCTCCGAAATTGTCAGATACATTTGTATGCTGAAGATAACGAGCTTTGTATTATATGTAGACCAGTGAATTGGCGATCTAGCGCTCCTCCATGTTAACGGCTTCCTACTTTCAAAGTTATCCTTCTCTCATTCACGAGAAAATTCTGTTCAAAGACTTAAACGGCAACTTTACGAGCCTAACGTCACAGACTGTTCCTCGCGCGAACTCATTTTATAACGATAAAACGTCCTCCATCACGAGTTGCATAGTCGACCTAGTAAGTTCCGGAGTTTTAAGGACCCGGGCAGGAAACCGATCCGACTTCGTATGCGACGAGAGGCAACTCGGGAGTTTATTTGACGAAGCTCTCTGGATTAAGGGGTGTATATTGGAAAGCTAAGCTGCTCGGAAAGGGACCTTCCGCGAGAAGAAGCGATTGGTGGTATATTTTTGTGTTTTAAAGCCCAATTTACCAAAATTTTCCAAACACTGGATCAATAAGAAGGTGTCTTTGAATTTGGTCGAATTCGTGTAAACTAGATTTTAACTCTCATAATAAATCAAAAAACACTTCATATATTAAGCCTTCTTTTTATATGTGTCCGGTCATTGAAGGTGACGTAAATTTCACCAATAAAAATAGGATTTGTGGCCTACTCGGAACATGAATCGAACCTGATACAATAGACTGCCAATTCTAAGCATTTTTGATACCAGTGTCACACTGTTGCTGTGCAGAATTCTGCTCAACATATACTTTGAGGATATTGATCAAATTACAGAATGCATATTCTTTAATCAACGGGGAGTAGTCGCGCACGCCGTTGCGGTGACGGTGGTTAGATATAGTTCTACTACCGTCCAGTAGATGGCGCCTGAGCTCGCTGTCAGCAGGGCCGGATTAAGGGACAGGGCTTCTCGCACGGCAGTCATGTAAAGTGAATATTAACACGGCAATTCATATTCAAATTGCTCTGCGGATATGAAACGTTAACAGGAAAAGGTCAGATTTTACTAAGCAAAAGAAAGATATACAGGGTGACTTCGAAGTTGAGTCATTTATTTTAACAGTGAGTAGATCTGATCAAAAGAAATGTTTTTTTCCTTTACCATTTTTCTGGTAGAATTAAAGTAACAAAGTTATAGCCCTTTGGAAGTTTGAGTACCGCCCTGTCTCAATAATAATATTATGTGCTCGTGTTTGGCGACAACGGATATAATCCGCCTTATCGGTTCATCGCATCGGAAACAAAAGCGAAAGAATTTGGAACGATGTTTTTACAATTATTTCATTCGGTTGTATACAGTCTGTGTCAGTCGGTAACGCGTGAGTGAATAGTGGTGTCTGTTGCGTGGCTCAAACGAAATAAAAAATGGCACATGTTTATGCGGATCGGTTTCCCAATCGAGTGCAACCAACCCCTCGTGCCTTTGTTAATGTAGTACAACGGGCTCGTGAATCAGGTGACTTAAGACCTCACATGGAGACGGCATGCCGGTGCTCCAAGACCTCACGATCAAATACAGGTCCGCACTGAAATACTTCTCGGGAGGATACTTTATAAAACAAGGTAATTTTTTTTTTATTTTTACACACATATTTTGGTTTATTTTCCTTCTACAATCATTATCTGAAAATTAATGACTCAACTTCAAAGTCACCCTGTACATACATTAAAATGAAATAGATGATAACAAGTTATAAAATAAGCAACAAAAACGGTATGTTTGTTTAGATGTATAAGTAGTTGAATAAAAGAATATAAAAAGTATGCAACAAAAATGTATAATAAGTAAAATGATCAATAAAATAGATAAATATGTAATTTTTAAAAATTTTTATTCTGTTTATTCTAACTGTGATGTTGTTCAGGGGCCTTCGTTTGTAATACAAGATATGTATTATTTGGTTTTATTTGTATTAATTAGTCACCTATTTAATACTACCCACTTTTGATAACTCTGCATTATGATGCTATCCTTCCTTTGAAGATCCTCTAACGACCTTGCTGTTACCTTTATAGTTGGGTCATCAAGAGAGGTAACCAGGAGACACTGTTATTATCGATTATGTGTTCATCTAAATCGTTCACATATAACAAAAACAGAAATTAGAGATAGTGCTGCCCCTATTTCATAGATCTCTAAATTATGCTCTAGTTTGATCGACGTTTCTCAAAAATTCGATCGTATTCATAGAATCCATTACTCACTCTCATTGGGTGAATTTGTGACCCTCGGCTAAGTTAAATCGGGCAAATCGAGGCAGATGTTCATATACTATAATACTGCTTTCGTCTGATTTACCAACAGAGGGCAGGGCCAGAATTGTTGACAAAGACTCTGTGAAATTTAATGGAGCAGCAACAGAAAACAGAGCTATAGATCCTTTCTCTCTGTCGGGCTGGTCATTAGCAGTTTTGCAGTTTTCTGAAGAAATACCGGATTCATAAAATATCTGGAAGAGACCCGTTGCACATCTCTTCAGTGCGACAGCAGCAATCAAGTGTGGACCAGAAGCTTTCTTAGATAAATGTGGAATTACACTGCATATTCGACTACCTTTCTAGACTCCGAATGAAGATATCAAACACAATAACCAAGGTTTCAAGGTGAAAGTCATATCATAACCCTTACGTGACCTTGAAGTTCGTTGTACGTATAAAGGATCTATCACCTTTATAAGTTACATACCTGATAATATCCCTGTATCTAGCTTCCAAATACACAAAGCCCAATGCATTATGATTCAATAAAGGACTCGTTCAGACTTGTATATATAACGGAAGGTCGTCTGGGGCATTTCATAACTAGAAAAGGTGCGCCGACATAGACGTAACCGCAGGTATTGATTTCGTCTTTATGCTTTTATACACTTATTGA